AGTGTTTTCATGTGATAATTAATTACCTAGTTTTATAACATCATCAAATGAGCCTTCTTCTTGTCCATTATCTGTCAAAATCCTATGCTTTACATTCTTGTAGAGTTTCTGTGCCATTTCTTCTATTGAAATATACCACCCAAGTGTCCCTATTTATGAAGGCATTGCCTATTTTTGGACCAAATCCCACTTCCCTCTTTTCTAACAGCTCCATATTGTTGGTGTGTCTGAGAGTATAACAGAGTATTAATACTCACAGTAATGTGTGTTTAAACTACAATAACTGGGTTTATATATCAGTCTCTAATATAGATTGTTTTGTTCTAAATTATATTTATTTATTTTTTTAATTCTTTATTTTTGTCGTGCATGTATCAACAACAATTACACAGAGCCACATCAGCGTCTGTGTGCATCTTACAGCATTTGACAATGTCACAGGTTAATACAGCACATTTTTAAGGTTAAAGAGTAAAAAATAAGACAGAAAAAACAATTCTGTTAGTAAACAGTGGGGTGGACGATACGCAAAACTCTATACACATTCAATTTCGAATTCCGTTTTGATAAGTAATGTCAGTCTTTCTACTTACATTGCTTATTAATATAAAAAGAGGCACATTAACTGTGAGAGATGCCCAGAAAATATCAGGGCTAAATTATATTTTAAGTTGCATAGATTGTTATTAATAATTAACCTAACATTTTTCACAACAGGCCACATCACTACTCACACCCCGAAATTGAAGTGTCCCTCATCCTCTATGTGAAATGTTGGGATATTCTGACTTCCCATCATCTTACAGATTCAATATCCCTGTACATGTCTCTTTTGGAAGTAATGTGTGGTTTGTAAATATAACACAATATTCCAAGGACTCACTATGAGAATCTTTCATTTATTTTAATGAGCCAATCTGCCTGCCAAACAGTACCTGTCATTTAAAGTGACCACACCTTACATTTATTTAATAATAATCTCACCCCTTAATGCTACTTACCTGCTCATTTATTATTTATTGATTCCCTATGCTGGATAAATGTTCAGAGGGTGAAATATTAGAACATTTTACTGTTGTATCCTGGTTTTATAATTAAGTAGTACTACTCATATTGAAATAATATTAATGTAAAATATGTATTTGTAAAGAGATTGTGTGCAATTTTCAGTTTAACAGCTTAACAAGACTCCAAAGATTAATGAAAGGGGGCTGTTGCCATGACAATTTGGTCTTTCTATATAAAGTATTACAGCAGCATCTGTGACAACTAAAGCATTAATCTAATATTAAATGCTTTGAGTCGCTGAGCCCCAAAGATTACACAGAGCATTATACATATTTGAAGACTTCTACAAGTACTTCAGCCTTTTCTGTACAATAACAATATAATTAGCCAAATAATATCATATCTTTGCACAAGGGACATTATGTTTTGAATTAAATTTCTGTATTCATAAATACTTATACCTCAACTTACACTGTATCAGTCACTCAGAAACCAGGCGATATTCCACTCATACTCGTGATTGTCATGCACACACACAGCACTCTCACCACCACTCGCAAAGGCTTTAAAGGGTTAGTCCAACCATCATGACAACTTCAGTGATTGGAAGTGGTCACGGGGATAGCAGTCTGTCAACTTGAAACAATTCGCATACAGAGATATTGGCACTTGTGTGCCGGGGACTAGTTACACCCCTGCACACGTGACGTAGGCAGCCTGGAGCTCTGTTCCAGGCTGCCTGTTGACAATTCTGTGCATATTTTATGTCTGTCGTCAACACCCACTGTGCAATGGTGGCAGACCGAGTCAGCTTCTCCTTTACAGGCAGAGCCTGCAAGGGGAAGCTCATTCTCCACTCCGTCCCATCATGCAGCCTTCCCTGCCTCCCTGCATTTTTTTCTATATCTTTTTATTAGTGCCCTCCTCTGTCCACCCCCCACTCTCTGCCTACTTCCCCTCGCCAGCTTGGATTGCGCACATGTGCTCTGGGCCGGCAAAACAGTCCATTCATTGGCTTCTCTATGAGAAGCCTGTGATTTGACCACGTGATGTAATGAGGGGGCAAGGTAAGCAGCGCGGGGAGTTTTTAATAGTCAACAATCAAATAATAATAATCAGTAGTATTAAATCACTCCGTTAACCATCATACATCTATTAAACAGCTGCCAAAGTGTCATGTTCCAAGAAATAATGAAAAGTACTAAATGTCATGCAATCACCATGGAGACCAGAGGAACCAGCAAGAACAATCGGTTTGTGATTCTTGTCCTCCATATCACTTTGTATCACTTTTCAGAACACTACACTTTGATAATCTCCACCATTGTATTCTATTACTTATTACTTGAAATATTGTAAATCTGATGATTCTGGTACTATTTGGCATACACAATCACAAAATTACAATATATCAGCTTGCCACTTCTGGTCCTGCTACTCTCCCCTTGGTAAGCCGGACTTGTCACTATATAAGGATATTTAATTACCTACACTCCAAATACCAGGTAATGCATTGAGTGTGTGAAGCACCCATCATTACATCACTGTTAAATATAAACACAATGTCCTGAGATATTGTGATTGGGGTAAATGTTCTTGTTGATGCTGACTCACCTTGTTCAGATTAGACTTGGAGCTAAGGATTATGCTGGGAACCAAAACTGCCCAGTCAGCGGTATCAAACACCTTCACATATTTCTATATAGATATGATGGATCTACACTGGCAATGATTAGATTATAAAAAGAGCCGATGAAACAAAATCTGGTGATTTGCCGTTGCCAGTGAGAAAGTGGTTAACTGGTTTTCCCACAAACATTGAAGGAGGTTAGTAAGTTGCCAGTGTACCTGTCATTGTAATAAACACTGGGATTTGGAATATGATACTCTGATTCATCCGTCCCAAGGTGGTCCAGCCTTGTCCCCCAGCTTTTATTAGACAACCATTCCAAAAACTGCAGTCTACCAAAGAGTTCTGGGGCTTGTATTCCAAGAAGAACTTGATGCTGACATGGTCTTGGGCATCCCAGCACTTTGAACTTTCTGTTCACCTATTGCAGTGGATACCTTTGTGGACGTTGGGACTAGCAGAGTATTTAAGACTCATAGGGCATCATGGATGTTCAAGAGAGATGCGGAAAGTACCAGGATTTCTTCTCAGGTGTTCTACTTTGGGGAGAAAAGTCCAGCAAAATGGAATGTTAATATTAGTGATGCACTTGGGTACTTAGCTTTTGGCCTGAATTGATCATATTAAAGCTGAATGCTTGGCTGTCTGCATCTGTAATCTCAATATACAATTTTAGAGTGTTGATAAAGATAGAGCGTATAGATAGACACAGTCCCTCGGTGACCCCATTCTGCTTGCTGCATGTCTACTTATCTGCCAAGCAGCTTACGATTTCATTTTGTCCTTACAGCAATAGATATTTTTAGACTGTAGCATCCGAACATTTTCTGCTACAACAAAAACCTAATGCAGAGCTCAGTTACAGAACCATTATTTATTTTTATTGTTTTCAATAACTGTAATATGTATTATTTATTGAGTTTCAGCTTTTATATAAGTAGGGAGTCAAAGCCAATGACATTCATTGTGTGCTCTGCAGTTAGATGCCATATTTTACTTTGCGTTCTGTTTCAGATCACAAAGGTAAAAACAAAACGTTCATCACATACACAAGCGGGTATCTATAGGTGTGCATTTTTAAAACTCCAGTGATGGCATTTATTTCTTTTTTTTTTTTTTATCATATTTGTGTTTATTGTTTTTGTCACGAAAAACAGGGGAACAGAAGGAAAAGGGAGAAGGGATAGGGGGTTCCACAATAAAATATACATACATACAGTGGTTATACATTAATCATACACATTGCATGGTAGATTGCGTAATCAACAGCTTTCTCTCGGGGCAGTATGCGTTACAGTCCTGTTTGACGCCTACATTTCTTATTCGGTTGTGCATATCGGTGCATGTCTACAGATAGTACTGTTATGCAATATACATTACATCGTATACATTACATTGTATGTGCAGGGTCGCCTCCTAGGGTTATTGCCATATAGTAACTCTGTTCTGGTGCCTATATATGTTTGACTCTTAACATGTTTATTGCTTGGCCCACATTGGTCAACGTGTGTGGAGTATGGGGGAACTTAGGGTAGGGAGTGAACTCAACTTAACAGAAACTTGTACTGGAACTTGAGCTTGATCTCGAGCTAGGACCATTGAGAAATGCATTGGGAACTACAGTGGCTATGCTCTCCTCGGTTTTGTGTCGTTATTTTTATTATTGCTGTCATCATTGTTATCGGGCCTGGCTCGTTATGTAGTGCTCGTCCTTCGGTATGTGAGCCAGTCCTGCCACACCACCTCATGTTGTTGTGCTTTCCCCTTCAGACCCATAGCCATGTTTTCGTATAGACAGACTTTATCTAATCTCTTTGAGATCTCTTCTATCGAGGGGATAGCTTTGTCCTTCCAATGATATGCTATAGCCATTTTAGTGACTGTGAGAAGGTTTACAATTAGTGGGGTGTGGTGCTTCTGGTGTAACATTGGCAACATATGTAGTAAGTAACTTTCAGGCGTCAATGGTATGGTAAATAGGGTTAGTTTGTTTACCAGTGTTTGTACACTTAGCCACAGAGGCTGAATGTCTTGGCATTCCCAGAAGACATGGATCAGTGTACCCTGGGCTTTTTCGCACATCCAGCATAAAGAGGAGACTGTACTGTACATTTTGGCTAATCTATGTGGCACCATGTACCATCTCATTGTGATTTTGCTGTATGCTTCCCACATGGAGATGCTACTAGATGCCTTCTTGGTGTTAGCTATGGCCTTGTGCTATTTCTTTTTTTTTTAACACAATAAGTGAGGAGAGATTATCATGAAATAAAATATTAGTAGTATCGGGTTAAGAGTAGCAAAGATTTCCAATCACATTGAAACAGGTCTGTGATACACGGTCATACCTTGATAATAAGAAATGGCCTTTGTGATTGATCTTTTTATTCATCAATCACAAGATTGCCAATCCTTGTATCTGGTGCTTGTTGGTAGAACATTTCCTGAATTGTGGGGAGCACAGTCCAACAATAATGACTGTGGACGGGGTTGCAAGGATGTGCAATTCTGTTCCTCTGTGGAACCTGTCATTAACAATGTGTATGATCACAAGGTCTCGTTAAAAGATATACTTGCCAACGTTAGCAAGTGTGGGTGGACAGGTGAGGGACAAGTAGTGGGCAATCCAGTGACAAGATGTGCATTGCTGGCTATTGTGCATGAATTAAAATTCCCTGGAATATTTACATAATGTAACAAAAGCATGTATAACCAAGTATGTTCTTGTGCTGGGCTTTTCTTCTCAAATGTGGTGAATACATTTTATCCTCGGAAAATACCTCTGACCACTGAACAGAGCCCTAAATTTGGTACTGTTCCACTGAAATAGACACTGTTGTTGGTGTGTTTGTTCTGATAATTAATACCCAGTCTTGGTGAAACAGAGATAGAAACATTCTAGTAAATCAAGCCTACTGACTGCAATGGTATTAATGTAGTTAATAGTGATTTGACTAGCTATTTACGTACGTTTACATTGTATAGAGCCACTATGGAAGTTTTGTATAATACGAGTACTATGTTTGTGTATTGTCGCCGATAAAGAACTCGAAGAATCCCTTTTTAAAAAAGTAGGCATCACTATATTTAACGTGCAGAACTTGTACCTAACATACTTGTGTTTTCATTGTTCTAATATTTGTTGAAACCATCACGTTTTGATTTAATTAGTGATATTCTGCGTGTTTCTAATTTAGATCTCTTTAATTAATGAAGTTCTGGCAGTCAGATACAGGATTATCACAACTGTGGAGAATTTCATATTCACTGAGGTTACTTGGGGTGAGAAGGAAATAGCAGAATATGTAACTTCTATTTCAGTTTTATCCCATATGACATTCCCCAAGTACAAAGAAGCTAATTTGATGCAAAATATTAATTCCATGGTCCTTCATGTTTGATAAGCACTCGTGATTCTGCAGTAAAGGTCACAATTGATTTCATCATAAAAGATCAAATCTATTCTGGAATGCAATTTTTTTTTTTTTTTTGTAGCAAAGGGATATTTTAAGAACATGGTACAGCATACATAGCACGTCTCCCTGCCCCACGGTGCACAGTGAGAGGCTGATGACTCACACAGTGTCTGCGAAATGCCACTAGATGATGGGATGACTAAAAATAAGCACCTCAGACTTGAAAGGAAAAAACGATTGGCAAAATGCCTTACATGTTCAAATATGCTGGCTTTCTGGAGACATATCTGCCATTTGAAATCTGTTAGACTGGAACACGTGTTTGTCATAGTATTAGACACAGCATGGTTATTGTTTAGTTGTACAAACACCACACACTTCAACACTACATCAGATATTCGAGAAAGGTTTATGTTTCACATACTTTAAAAACTAGTGATGGATGATGATCTGTAGTACAGATCAAGTTACGGTATCTCTCTAGATCAGGCTTCCCCAAACTCTGGCCCTCCAGATGTGGCTGAACTACAACTCCCATGATTCTCAGCCTATCTATTTCGTTCATAGAATCATGAGTTGTAGTTCAGCAACATCTGGAGGGCCGGAGTTTGGGGAAGCCTGCTCTAGATTGTTATAGATAAAGCAGACTACACTGGTAACATTTAAACCTGCAGTAGTCTTCATGATAGATGCATGATAGTGGAATTAAATCATGTGCTGTTTTGTTAAATGGACAGTATATGCACCAAAATAACTTTAGCTTAATTATTATTATTATTTAATTATTTATATAGCGCCAGCAAAGTCTGTAGCGCTGTACAATAGCTTAATGAAGCAGTTTTCGTGTATAGATCATGCCTCTGACATTTCACTGCTCAATTCACTGCCATTTAGGAGTTAAATCAATTTTGTTTCTGTTTATGCAGCCCTAGCCACACCTCCCCTGGCTGTGACTGACAGCCTGCATGGATACAAAGGTTTCATTTTAAATCAGATGTAAAATACTTTCAAAGTTTTTATCTCCTGCTCTGTAAATGGAACTTTAATCACACACAGGAGGCTCCTGTAGGGTTTAGCAGGCTATTAACAGAGCAGGAGATAGGACGTTCTAAATTAAACAGAATTTGCAATAAAGGAAGTTTAAATAATAGATGACTCTTTACAGGAAGTATGTAAGAGGCACCATGTAAGGAGGTTTTCCTAGGGCTGCATAAACAAAGTGATTTAACTCCTAAATGGCAGAGAATTGAGCAGTGAGACTGCTCCACCAAAACTGCTTCATTAAGCTAAAGTTGTTGTGGTGACTATAGTGTATTTTTAAAGTAGGACCCTTCCTCTTATCAGATGATGAAATCCTTCATTGCTGTAATATATGGCTTTTTGCCTTTACTTTCAGTAGTGCATCATCCCACTATTTATCTCTGTTCTGTTTGTCCTTCAAAGTCTCCCCATAGCTATTTTAGATCCAGAGTATCCTATTGCAACCCCCAGCTATTGTAAACTACATCTTCCTTGAATTATTACTAATGGCAGTGTATTGAGGTTATTTTAATCAAACTATACTCCGTGTCACAGTTGGTTTGCACTTTCTATCTAAATCGTAGTTGTCCTTCATTGTTCTTGTTGATACTGAAATATTTGGGGGGACATCACTTTGTGATTTCACTCACGTCGCATCGCTGACATACATTTCAGTCTGACATACATGTCTAGCTCTGCACGACATATGGGTTTCACATCATTTCTCTGCTTATATAAAATGAATGTTTCACCATGGATGTACAGAACGCACAATTTGAAAATAAAAACTTGTTACCACTGGTCACAATGACATACAAAATGCTCTCTAATTGAACACTACTTGGTACACTCTTCTTTTTCACTCTTTTTGAAGACTTTGTGTGAAAATCGTTTTTGGTTTTATACACCCCGTATGGTAAATGCATTTTGAATATCTTGTATTGAAATCTCAGTACCTTAAATCATCTAATTTAAAGGACCACTATTGTGTCCTTTAAGCTGCAGTTTATTCCTTATGATGTAAAACTTCTTGCTGTTGTATTGGGGGTTTAAATATTAGTAGCGGTAAATTTGTTTTCTCCCCCCCCCCCCCCCCCTCCCAATGTTTCAAGGTTTATTAAATTGTTTTTTTTACATTGTCTACATGATCATGCTTGGCTTAGATTATTTTAAGGCTGGGCCCTCTGAATTGGTCATTCTAACATTGTGAGTCTTCCATCTGCTCAAAGAAGATCTAAATATTGCATTGGAGGAGCAGTTAGGGCATTATCCAGGTGAAAGATTATTTCCTTACAAAGACTTTAAAAAAAAATAAATTTAAATTAAGCTCAGCAAGTGGAAGTCAGATCTGTTTCTATGCGTTTGAATTCCTAGTATCAGTTTTGATATAACCCCCCCCCACCCAAACCAATGACTCGTTGACTCAAATCATCCCTAGACCATAAGAGAGCTCGCACTGCAGATAGGTATAAATGTATTTCTTACAACCATTTTTCATATTAGTGTCAATAAGATTTTGTGTCGCTAATCGCTGGGACAGGCAGCCTTTGTTACTCCAGATGTTATGAACTACATCTCCCCTGATGCTTTGCCTGCTTTATGGCATTAAGAGCATCATGGTTGATGTAGTCCACAACATCGGGAGTGCTGAAGGTTACCTACTCCTACACTAATGGTTTGTTTTGGTTTTTCCCACAAGATTGTAAGATAGTTGTTCATATGTTTTTAGTGCCATGTGACTACCAGGTTCTGAGAGGGTAATTCACAGATTGGATTTGGCTCTGCTGTCTTTTCTATTATCAATATTCTCAAGTTTCTTTTGTAAGCTTGAATATCACATTTTGTTAGTCCAGTTATAAACGTGCAGATGTTCTGTGTTGGTTAATTACACGTGTCAGTCTATTTATCTAAATATAGTTTCTGCACATATACAGCTGCATAAAACACATTTCATCAACAACTGCAATATTTGGTTCAAACCTTCCTGAATATTTCCAGTTTTTATGGAAAACTGATTTTAAAGTGCTCATTTCTGCTATAGCAGTTACAGAGTGAATCACTCCTTGGTACCTGTTGCAGTTTTGTAAGTGAATCGGATGATATCATTAACTGCCTGCACGTCATTGAGACCGTCTAGGGTTAAGCATGCAGTTCAGAGCAATCCTTGTAAATAATAATCATGTGCAGCTCCGTCTGCTCTGATCTTTACAAAGAAAATGATGTTTCCTCCCAAACCCACATTTTTCTATAAGCCGCAATCCCCCCCATTCTGTAAGACATGCACATTGTACCCAGGCAAAGGGCCCCCAGCACTCAGTCTGGGCTGCAAATTCAGAAAGCTGGGAGCGAGGCCTCAAGAATTGTTTTAAGTTGGTTACAATGGCTGGCTGTAACATGACCCAACATCAAACGGATGTCAGATAGCGGCCAGCAGTGCAGTGACACATTGCTTAGCACAGCATATTAATAAGTATGCATGTTATGAGTATTTGTGTGAGAGGGACCCAAGCTGAATCACTCGTTTTTAATGAGGTTATCCAGATGCTTGGCAAAGAATGAGTAGGAAGAAATGTAGTTAGTTTATGTAGTTATTATAGAAAGGAATTGGCAACTTGCTTATTCGATATTGTGCTTTAGGATACCGGGGGTGCCGTGTATTGATTAATCAGAGATTTGTGATGAGTTAAGAATCAAATCTAATACAGCATAACTGGAAAATCTCCCAATACTGATTGATTAGAGGTTTTTACAAACTGCTAAATGTCAGCTCACTACAATTCTCTGTTTAAGGAAAGTGTCAACGGAATATTGATAATTATGAAAGAGACATAGTGTTTTAGGGTAATTTATAAAGAGCATTTCTAGGAAAAGGTGAGAAAAGTGGACAGTGGGGAAATACTTGAGGAATACTCCTTTCTTTCCACGGTGAATGTTCGCTCTTAGATCAGAGATTTACTCTTTGTATATAATCCCCTATTATGTGAATATAGTATCTATTTATGTGTCTGGTTACAGTTACAACACAGATCACATGAAATGCCATCTGGGTAGGTTTGCTCATAGTGCCGTCTACAAAGCATTCACAATAGAATTAGAAGTTATATTATTTTTAAGATCCCCAGTCCAGACTGTGGGTCCATTCAGAATAATAAGACTTATGTTAAGGCGACTTTGTCTTCAGATAAGAGCACGCTGCAGTTTTTGGTTCTAACAAGCAGAGATATATTAATGTAAATACCTTCACCCATTTATGTGTTTATTAGACGTGGAGATTCATATTTACATAGTAATCTAGGTCCCTTTATGCTGTTGACCCAAAAGAAGGTTAAAAAAATAAAAACAACTGTAGCCATTTCTAACTATGCCACAAAAAGGGAAAAAACATTGACTCTATAACGCTTATCAGATTTATCCTTGGATCAACAACCTGTTCACATACCTATTCTATATCTATTATACCCTTGGATATTCTTTTTTAGCAACAACAACAAAAAAAGCTTCCAGGCCTTGTTTCTAAAAATATATATATATATTTCTAGAATCTGAAAAGACAAACTCGTTAGGTAGAGGATTCCACATCTTTATTGTTCTTACTGTAAAGAATAATTTCCTCTGCTGTAGTGGCCTCCTTTAATTCCATATAAAATGTATTTACAGCCTAGCAGGTGTCATCATTGATTCTGTGTGATGTCACGCAGTGCAATATGGGGCTTAAAAACTTGATTTGGCTGAAATAACAGGTAAACCATATTCAATCTATAAAATCCCATATAAACATACAGATTTTGATGGAAGCAGTTTGGTGCGTTTGTTTCTCAATCTAAATAACAAAAGAGACTGGGTTGTCGGGATTTTTTTAATTGTGTTTTTGTATTTTCTTAAAACACGATCTTTGTTTTGACATGTATTATTGCAAGAGGTGTATTTTTTTCAATTTTATTTTAAATAGATCTTGTTATAATATTTTTGTTCCTCTTTCAGGTGCTGCCAAGTCAAGTCCAATTGCAAAACCAGGGTCCACATCATCTCGCCCATCATCTGCAAAAAAAGCAGCACCAACTCCTGCAGTTAAAAGCGACAGAGATTTGGAAACACAGGTTACACAGCTCAATGAACAGGTACTTCTACCTTCTTAGGCCCATAAACTGACGAGAGCACATACAAGTTACTTACGTACTTAGAGTGCAAGGTTTTTTGTGTGGGCTGTATCAGACAGAGAGAGTATGGTAGGGGCAAATAGCTGCAATGAGGCACAGGGAACTAATTGCACTATAACAGTGAAACACTTGCTCATACAGACACAGGTATTCTCACAAATACTCACACATACACTTACGTACGAGCACATTTGCACTTCTACACAGTAATTAATTCTCCATCATTCTCCTTTGCAGTTTATCTCACTCTCCACAGGGCGTTTGAGAGCGAGAGAGGGGTGTCATTCTGTTCTTGGCATCCAATAATGAGGGAGTAGGAGAGCTGAACATAGCCTTCCCTCCTGTCCCCACTCAACCTGTGGCTGCATTTTAGACAGATATAACATCACATCTCCATGCCTGACTCCTGTCTCAGTGTTATGATGCAACATGTGGACATATTGAAAGATCTGTTACTATGTTTGGCTATAAGTTGATATTCCATTAGGATCAGAAATTAGTAACATGATGTGCTCGGGCAAAAGTATTCCAAAATAATACACAATTGGGTGGAACTATGGTAAATATAATAAATGTAATAAATCCGTACATACCCTTTAATATAAAGATACTAATATTCTGTAAAATACAACAGGGAAAGAAAAAACAATAGTGCAAGTCAATTTAGACAATATGTATAGTAAAGGTTATATGTAGCACTCACAATGGCAGAACCAAAATAATCACTTGGCTCTGGTGGATTTCCAATAAACTCTCCACCACTTTCTGCGCAAGGAAGAAGAAATGGGTGTTGAACCTCCCGTTAGATCCTAAGGCACAATCCACCAGAGCCAAGTGATTATTTTGGCTCTGCCATTGTGAGTGCTACATATAACCTTTACTATCTATATTGTCTAAATTTACTTACATTGTTGTTTTTTCTTTTGATATTCTATTTAACAGAATATTGGTATCTTTATATTAAAGGGTATCTGCTTATTTATTACATTTACATTTTTAGCTCCACCTTATTGTGTATTGTTTTTTGGTGTATCTGAAGTTGTGGGTTCCCCAACGGTATTGTTGAGCATACACACCACTAATACTGTATATTTTGTATTTTTTTTACACACCACTAGCACTGTATATTTTGTATTTTGCATTGAGACAAAAATATTGTTTGGTTAAAAAGAAAAAGAAAAAAAAAAAAGGAATAATATGTTTACCACTACTTAACTCTTTGTCTGACGAATAGTTTTAGCTCCTGGTTGGGCCAAATATCTGGTTAACCCTAGATCTAATAGTACTTCACTACACTGCTCTACCTGATTGAGTGTATTGGAGATCTTATACTGGAGGTCCTATGCAATTCAGCCTTCTCGTGTCCACTCTGATTTAAAAAAAAAAAAAAAGGAACGTGGAATTGGTGATTGGTGGAGTAATTAAAATGCTTTCTAGTCAATTGCATTAATACAAGCTATTAATTTGTTTTTAGTTTAAAAAATGCATTGTGTAGTGGCACAATGTATGGCATAATACTGTGATACACTAATGGGGTTATGGAACATTTGTCCTGCTGTTACCTTGCAGATGTGGCTAGGTGGCAGAATGTACACTCTAAAGAAGAAAAGACAGAATATATTTAGAATCGGCACTAAATATTACGCAACATTTACATGTAGTAACAGAATAACCTGTAATTCCTCATGTTGAGTATCTGCTCTGCTCCACCAGTCAAGTGCAGAACATGAGAACGATATTAGGATTTATATGGAAAGACATGCCTAGCAGCTTGTGTTGATTGTAACCCTCAGTAGAGATCTCAATGTCATATTATTCAGCAAGTCCAGGGTCCCTGATTATTTCATCAACATGATAAACTATATGTTAACCCCTTAAGGACACATGACATGTGTGACATGTCATGATTCCCTTTTATTCCAGAAGTTTGGTCCTTACAGGGTTAAAGTAATACCAGCTTGAATGCTATCATGCCACAATTGTTCTTATAGTTGCACTGGGTTTGGGATGTCCTGAAATAAGAATAAAACCACATTCTGGGCCCTCGTTGAGATTTTTTATCACTTTGCGTGATTCCATGGTCCTCCAGGCAGCTTGCTAAAGAGGCATTTTTCCTATCTCCCCTACCCTTTTAAATATTTTGAAAGCAAATTGTACTCATTATAATTATTTTCTTTTAAATGTGTTTTTAGGTACATTCATTAAAACTTGCCCTTGAAGGAGTTGAAAAAGAAAGGGATTTCTACTTTGGAAAGCTACGGGAAATTGAACTTCTCTGTCAGGCACATGGCCAGGAGGGCGATGACCTTGTCCAGAGGTTAATGGAAGTGCTATATGCAGCAGAAGAACAGGTTAGTGTCCGGAAATGATCTGCAATGCTTCTTCCAAAAAAAAAAAGAAATGTAAAAGATGGTTCCCTTCATTTTTGTACTAACCCTTTAGTACAGTTGGCTAACAAAAGTAAGGTATGTTGTATGAAGAGGGAGTCTCTTTTTGCCTTTGTTTCTATGTATCTACTGATGGCATTCATTTTGTTGATGCTCCATGTACAGCGATGTAATATGTTATCACTGTGTATATTAACCAGTTAGAATAAAGGTCTCTGTTACTCCTACTCAGTCAGCTTTATTCTAAGAACTGTTCTCATTGGCTAGTTAGGATTTTTGGATGCCCTTCTCTTAGTACAGTCATTACGTTTTGGAATGTTGGGGATACTTGATGAATGAGGATTAATACCCTCTAGACACAGTGCCAGAGCAATGCCCAGTCCCAATGGCCCACTGGAAAATTGTTTTATCTATTTAACCAGAATAGAATTATCTCCAGGAGAGTTAATAGAATCACTTACTAATTTGCCAAATGATGGATGTGCTGTCACAAATAGAATGGTTCTACAAAATCTAACATTAGATATATTATAAGAAAACTTCTCTTTAAAAGATTATTTGGCCATACACTGCATGCTCTTCCAGCATTATTCAATATGTCATCAGATTTGATGATCTCAGCCAATCCAATGTTTTCCAATAGGAAAGCATGGGGAGGCTATTGCACATTTGTGCAAAACGCTGCGTCTTGCCAATTAGCATCTCCTCATAGTGATACATTGAATCAGTGAGTCTCTATGGGGAGTGTTCAGCGTCTCCATGCTGAACACTCCCCATAGAGGCTCACTGATTCAATGCTCTCTAGGGACACCTTTAGTGGCAGTCACTCAGACGGCCACTAGACGTACTTCATGGGTCGGTGCTGCACACTGTGTCTGAGTGACTGCCACTAAAGGTGTGCCTAGGGAGCACACCTTTAGGTGAAAAGGCAGTGTTTACATTAAAAAGTCTGCAGGGACAGGCCATACACACTAGAATAACTACATTAATCTGTTCTGGTAACTATAGTGTCCCTTTAAGGTCAAAGTAGGCAAACTGGGAGTATAGTTAGCATGGAGATTTTTTCCATTTTGGTCATAAACTCTAAATTTCAGACAATTCTCACTTTGCCAAAAGCTCTGAGAGTGTTTACTTTATAAAGAGAATAACAGCCGACAATAATATGTAGTTGACAACTGGCTTTAATTAACTCCTTCTAGAGGATGATGCAAGAAGGCAACAGTGTACAGAATCCCATTTCCCATTAACATGCCACTATTTGAATTAATTTGTGAAGTATGGAAAATAAAATTAAATGTAGAAATATTTGTCCTGCAATTGGATACCTCCATCATGGTTCCTTGTCAGTCAATCAATCACTAGAAGTTGTGTCCTTTGCACCTGACAGCCAGCATGGAAAAAGAGGAGAAGAGAAATCTAAATGTGTTCTAATGTCCTCTGTCACATATATCTCTCATAAACTATTTTAATCACATGGTTTTCAACCATTTAGACACTGTCTGTAGTTCAAACGCTACATCTGGAGAAACACAACAAAAACTGTGATCTGACAATCTGAATTTAGAGCAAACCAATGTGCAAATCATACAAAATAAGAATAAATCATAAATCACAATCTAAAAGGCTTTTGCAGTGTTCATAGTAAAAATAAAATACGCCAATATGTAATTACAGCGGTCTTTCTTTGCTATAAGTGCAGGTAGAATGTCAGCACAGTTATTTGGACCAGTTATTCTTTTTCATGGCTATAATTGTGTATTTCACAAATTGTGTGATATTAGCTTCCAATTCTACACTTCGCTTGTTTTATACTATATTCTCCTATTACATCCACATTTCATCTCCTTTCTGGCTGCTGTTCAATAACTCCATCTGAAAGAGAACCCTGTGTTTTCCTGAATTGTTATTGTTGGTGTTTCCCTAAATGTGAACATATCTTCCTAGAAGTGGAAGTTAAAAGTAAACAATTGGAAGAAGTATATACTGGTTGTCAGAATGTGTTGCGTAGCATTTAATTGACTGTTCATCAGTAAGAATTAGTGGGGCCCTGCTCTCCTTTCTCCTATGATTGACTCTGCAGTATAGTACCGGGTCCACATGGAACACATGACTGCGAGTATTAATGATACCATGTGTCCTGAGCATAAGACACCGAAGCAAAGCCAATTTCCCTTGAGGAAACACTTTTGGAACTAATTCCCCTTTCCTTCTCTTTCCCTTTTGTTTATTTTTTTCCTTCACTTTCCTCTATAATATCTCTATATTCTATTGCAGCCTGTGCCTTTTTCATTACCATCTTTTCAAAGATGACGTCAAAATAATTGTGTGTGCTGTTCTATTAACATTGATGTATTTGCCTCAGCTACTCACCCTGTTAATTACCCTTCAATTCTACCTACTGTCGCATATTTTAATTTCAATAATACATATATGTAAAGATATAAAACATCCTGAAACATGTTTAGCTAGGGCTGTCTTGCTGGAGACTATAAGGAGCTTTAATCCACCCTAGACGAATGAGCTCCAGGTTAGCTACCCATGATTGAGTGCTTTTTTCCCATTTGACACATTATACATCACAATGTCATTTTGCTGTTCTTTATTTATTTTAATGTTGTTTAATCCTCGAAGTGAATACTAACATAGCAATCTTCTGCTTTAAATGCAGGAAGGCCACACAGACCAGCATGAAAGCGAGGAGCAGGACCACGTTCTGGAGGAGCCACAGCAGCAAGAGGAGTACTGACCCCTCATCCCACCCACCTCAATGTTACCATTTCACGTGGAACTTTTTTTCCAGGAGAGCAATGTGTGGCCAGTCACTCGTGGCCCACTCTTACCATATAATGTACTATAGTGAGCGCCAGCAAACCACTGCATTCTTTACCAATTACTAGCCCCACGGAGTGTTTACAGAAGTTGTATCTTGGCCCAAACCAAACTGAAAGAGGCGGGGGCTTTCTTGGCAGCAGTTTGTATCATTTGACTGTTTCACATTGTTTTCAAATGTTTTTTCCCAACTATTTTTTATTTATTTGTAATTGAGGTATCTACTTGTTTTCCAACTGCTTGCTTCTAATTGTAATATCGTACAATATTTATATTTCCTGGTCATGAGAAGAAATAGTCACTACCAAGTGTCACGAATGTACGTTGTAAAACTACACCACTCCCATTTACCTACCGTATCAGCTTTGACAAACAGAGAGAAAGTTCTTGATGCAGATACGGCTATTTCTTATTTTAGGCAGTATGTTTTATAATTGTGCCCTGCTCCCCCCTTACACCTCACCAATAACCTATAAAAAAGGCACTCATTAAATAATGAACGAGTCGCAATATAATGTGCATACATGTAATTTCAGCTCTGTGTGTCACTCACTAAGCTATAGTACAGGATCATAGGGATCTCAAAACACTTTTCACAACCAAGAACATACTATCCTTGGACTCTTTAGTGGAATTGTATTTGTTTTCTTGAAATTTTACAGCATCTGAATGGTCCAATCCCTTATGGAAAGATAGAGGGGAACTCTGAGTGAGCCAAATTCTCCATTCTTCTGTAGCCCTAAAAAAAAACATTACAACACTCTTCCAAGCTACAGACAGCGTATATTTTTCCTTATTATTTTAAGAAAGTGCACATTACCTTAACATTTTACCATTGTATTTTTGTTTTAGATAGCATTGATGGATTGGTCAGTAGTAAGCTTACCACAATACAGACTCTACTTATGTGTTTTAAGAAAAATGACTGAATGATCTTATTAAGTAAATCCACTTTCCCAGCTTTGGCAAAAGTCTCATTCCCTATGTTTCTTTTGGTAAAATGTAGCATTTACACAGGAAAAAAAAGACTATTTTAATTCTTTGTTTATTTTAAGTAAAACGACTGCTACACTAACCATTGTTAGGACCCCGGCAAATTAGATAAGAACAGTGAGGGTTTCAGTCTAATTATAGATAGCTATCCAAGGTCCACTGTGAGCAGTAGAGATAAGTTTGTTAAATAATTCTTTTCAGCACAATATTCTAAGACTGAAGTTGCAGTGCCTCCTGGCCAAATTTACTAATCCTACATAAACTCTGCAACAACATACAAATTAGAACACCTTCAAATTCTGACTGTTTGAGTGTGCTGTGAGTTGAAATACTAAATATTGCCCGCTTTTTAGTTCCCTTTTCCCCATATTATTCACTAGGGGTCTAATTTTCTGTTAATGCCAGTGTCTGCTAAGATGGCAGAAAACCATCTGATAACTATTTTATTAACATGTGAGAGCAATACAGCAATCTTTAGGAAGTGGTACAGCACCTAACTGAGAAGTATCCCTATTTTTGACTGCAAGTACAGAGCCCCATAAGGTATACAGAATATAACAAATATTTATAGCTAAGATCATGACATGTAATAATTCATGCAATAAAATGTACTTGGCAATCACTTCCATGTCAAGATATTGTGTACTAGATTCCCTGATGATGGTTTACTTTCCATACACAGGGGACAAATGTTAGCATAATGAACAATCAGAAAAAGTTGAAAATATTTTTGCTGTCCTTCTTTATAATATCTCAGCTTAAAATAAGGTTTTTGGATATTCAGTGCGAAAAAGTAAAATTGCATGTGTGTGTAAGAAGGGATACACCGTAACATGCATCACTAGCAAGTGGAATCTGAAAATGCATTACGCATTATATTGAGATGATTACGATTAGATCTCCTGTTAGTAACTAAAAACACACAAAGAGCAGGACTTTATTCTGCCAATAACAGTCTGCATCAATGCCCTAAATCGGTACAAATGCAGCATTTTAAGACCACCTTGCTGTACAGAACTTTGAGGGAGTATGCGCTTAATGTTACATTTAATGTTACCTTTGATAATTAAAACTTTATTAGCAGTACAGCTGGCCAAACAATGTTGCTTGCAGAACATGGTGAAGCCTATTCAGAGTCAATTTGAGGATATGCAGCTACCCAAAGTCAGTTTGTCAGTTTGCTGTGCACCCTGTAATTGGAATCATGTGTGGGAGCTAACAAATAAAACGAGAATGTCTTGTTTTCAATTCAGATTTTGTTACATATTTTTTTTCATTTTGCTGAAGGTTTTTTTTTGCTTCTACGTTCATTATGAATTCTGTTTAATCTAACTGGGTAGCACTACGTCAAAAAAGTTATATATGAAATGTAAACTGACAGGAATGTAAACATATGTATTGTTAAATATAACTAGGAGAGAAATGAAATCCTGATTAGATGAAAAAAGTCTCATTCAGATCTATTTCACTCATTTTTCCATACCCACAATGTCGCATGGTAGAGTAGGGATTTTTGTCTATGGATATGTGAATATATTGCGTTTTATCTTTTTACATATTTAATAAAAAGGGTATATGTAACAACATGTCAATTTTCCCACAATTAACTTCAGAAATGATATATCTCTTGTCTGTCTGCTACGAAAAAAGAAGGTTCGTTTTAAGCCGTTTTGTGTATCAAAGCTTATAGGGAGGTTTTGAAATTCTACAACTTGAGGAGGCTGAAAATATATAATTGTGACTAATCAACTTACAAGAATATGATTAATAAGCACACACAATGCATTTTACAATTTAAAGGCAGCTTTCCCTGTTAAAATGGAAATCTGAGATATTTCTGTAGGTTGTTTTTTTTTTTTTTCTGGCTACTGATTGTCCTGCAATTGGATAGCTCCATTTTGGGTACCTGTGAAAGATTTCTATGTTTAATTTAATTTTTTCACATCTCACAAATACATATTTGTTTTAAAAAAAAACTGGATACATCCACCTTTGCTACCTGTCAATCATTGTTATAAGCTCTGTCCTTTGCATCTGGCAGCCAGCATAGAGAAAGTATACAGAGGAGAAGAGAAATTGCATTGCGCTCTGTCAAAGGACATATTGAGCTTCTTCCTTGCAGAGCCAACAAGAGAATGGGTTTTCTCCTCTTCTTCCTTAACGGAGTTGAGTGCAACTTGCCTCCCTATACTTCCAATAGTACTGTTTTTTTGTTTTTTTTTCTTTCCAACCCTACCTCCCCTCGCCAGTTTAGATTGCACACAAACAATCTGAGCCAGCAAAACGGTCCTATGTGATTGGACCACGCAAGGTCGTTGTTAATGTTGAATGGAATCATAAAAGACAGTAAAAAAAACACCTGTAAAATGTTAGTTGTTTGCTCCTTCTTACCTGATTTCCAGGTAAATTTAAGTTAGTTAAATAGAACCACCCCATCCCCTAAAAAAAGGTTTGACTATGCAATGTCCACATCAGTGGTAAGGAATGCCAATCACTGGAGTAAGACATTCCCATCACAAGGATTCGTTACCAAATTGTCACATAAATTGTTGCTGCTCTTGAATGAAAATAGGAGTTTCTCACTGAAGCATGCCACAAACGTCTTGTCAGACTGTACAATATCCCAGTGCTTGTGAAGAATATGTTTAAACTTCTGTGAATTAATTGAAAATGTTGTAACACAAGGTATCTGCTGCCCTTGATGGCCACTCTGTTTTTCCAAAAAGAGCCACACTTTCTTTTTACAGTCAAGCACCATCAGTTGGTTATACCCTACGTATGAAAATGCCTAAACTATTTATTCCACATTTGAATCAAAACTTGCCATCCTCCAATATTACTAGTCTGGCCCTAATAAATTGTGCAACTGGTTATTATTCCACAAGACAACCCGGATGAAAGGAACTGTTATGGAGGTATGAAAGTCAATCTAGATTTCTGATGATTATCTATAAACACCTTTCCTTCTCGTACTTCCACGACAACATCCAAAAAATCATCTTCTTATCATCAAGCTCCAATTATTATTTATAAAGCGCCAACAAATTCTGTAGCGCTGTACAATGGGTGGACTAACACACGTATTTGTAACCAGACAAGTTGGACACACAGGAACAGAGGGGTTGAGGGCCCTGCTCAATGAGAGCTTGCATGCTAGAGGGAGTGGGGTATAGTGACACAAAGGTTAGGGTAGAAAAATAGGTTGACTAGGATAGTATTAACTGAGGGCTTAGTGTTGTTTTTTCATGACAGTTGCAGGAGAGGAATCGGGGTGCGGGGAGAGAAAGCTGTTCACAGTTTAATTGATATGCTTTTCTAAAGACGGGACATATTTGTGTATTAGTGAGGATAAAAAGGTCGGAGCAGCATTGTGTAGAGATTTGTAATAAAAAAGAAATAGTCTCCAACAGAATATTCAATCTTAAATGTCAGAAGCGGCTCAACACCCCTGTCCAAATATAAAATATATCATCAATATATCAATACCAAGATTGTATGTATTTCTGAAACAATGCATCCTTACAAGCGGGCATGAAAAGATTAGCATATGTATGATAGTGCCACTCTGGACCCCATCGCTATTCCCTGTAACTGCAGGTTGAACTATTTCAAAGGTGAAATAATTCCTGCAGAGCACAAATGACATTAATTAAATAAAAATATGAAAATAAAGAAAATGGAGCCTTAATAAAGACACTGTGTGTGTTGACAAGTTGCTGAGTCCAGTCTTATGGTGGAATAAATCTCCATTAGCAAACTATCTGGTGTTGCAGCTCTCCTTTCTTAAATTTCATACTTTGAAGCCTTGTGAGCTTGCACCCATGTTGCACATCAGGCGTGCAGGATCTCCAAATATGCTTAGTAATTCAATGAAAAACTGTTAGATTCCTCACTAGAATTATATAAACTGTAAAACTGAACCACGGCCTGACACAATCACGATCCTTGTACATTCAGGCATTCAACATTTTTTCTATCAATCATATCCCTCTCAAACGATTAACTAGTTAATTGTTTTAATGCAAGCCTGCAACTCATGTATAGGGTCTGTCTCCAGCACGCAATATTGTTGCCCATTCTCCAATTTAGAAATTCCACAACATAGTTTTTGGTGTCCATTGCTGTAGCACTACCTTTTATCATCCAACCTTTTTGAGAGACTCTGTTAGCTTAAACTTTGTCCTAAATTTCCAATGTATTTTGCCATTGTCCATTTCACATGACTTTATAAAAGTCTAATTCAGGTCTGATACCATCCTGGTTTTTTTTTGCTGACAGCCATCACTGCAGGTAAAAATCGCAATGTTAAATCCATTTCTGGTAAAACTCTGTCAAGTGACCTAAAAGCCCATAGGAAAGCATTGAATCCAATGCTTTCTTATGGGGAAGTTTGAATGTGCATGTGGTGCCCTCTGTGCATGCACATCTGGTCCCCAATGCTCCTCTATGAAGAACATTGGATTAGACCATCAGAAAGCAGGCCATGCCTTCTCCATGACATTGGAGACAGAGGTGAGCAGCGCCGAGGGGGTCTCAGTGCTGGAAAAAAGTTAGTAAAGATTTATTTTCTTAATTTCTTTAATTGTTTTTATTGATATTTAATAAGCAGTCATTGCATGAAAATTCACGCACTAGTAGTCATCTTATATAAAACATAAATGTTGAAATGTGAATTTACAAGTTAAAGGGAAGTTATCACAGTGTTAAAATATAAAAAAAATAGCAACAACATAAGAATAATATGAAAAAAAAAACTTTAATCTAGATGGTGCCATTCCTAATTTGGAAGATTATGCTGAGAAATATGCAGAGCCAGAGGGGCCAAGCCAGGCGATAGCCTTTGGAGGGCCTCGCATGTCGGGGTCAAGTCCTGGGGGGAAAAGTGTGGGAACTCACCCAAGATCCACCCCCCACAAAAAAAAATATATGCACGTATGCATATATATAATATAGTATTCTTTCCCCTCCTTCCCCATAGTGTTCTTCCACCCCCCCATCTCATTGTGCTCCTTACCACCCCCCTCTCATGTCCCATAGTGTTCTTTCCCCTCCTCCCCATAGTGTTTTTTTTACCTCCATCCCCTGTGCCATAGTGTTCTTCCACCCCTGTCCCATGATGTTCCTTACCACCATCCCCCTCCCCATCCCATAGTGTTCCTTACCAACCCCCCTTCCCCTGTCCCATAGTATACTTCCACCCCCTTCCCCTGTCCTATAGTGTTTTTTCCCACCCTCCCCATCCCATGGTGTTCTTTCCTGCCCCCCCGTACCATAGTGTTCTTTCCCCTCCTCCCCCATAGTGTTCCTTACCACCACGCCCTCCGCTGTCCCTTAGTGTTCCTTACCACCCCCTTCCCCTCTCCCATAGTGTTCTTCCACCCTTCCCTGTCCCATAGTGTTCTTCCTTACCAACCCTTAATGCCCCTCTCTCCCCACCCCCTCTTTGTAGCGTTACCAAGGGGAGCAGACCACGGTACAGGAGCTTTAGTTTCCTGTACCCAGCCGGACTCTCTCAGTGAGCACTTCCTTTCAGTCCAGCCAGGTACAGGAAACAGATGTTCCTGTACTGCGGACCGCGGTGCACACTGCTCTGCTCGGCCACGCTACCCAGAGTGACTGGTAGGAGGGAGCGCTGTGCGCCCACCTCCTGCGGATTACTCCAATCTAGCGCCCTCCGGGCCGATATTTCCAATGTGCCCTGAGGTGGCCACTTGGGCTGACTTATGGATGCGCCGGCCCTGCCTGCAGGGCCACCAACAGGAACGGCGTTCCTGCTGTGGCAAAGTGCTGGAACGCCGTTCCCACACTTTCCTGAAGGACTCGATCCCTGCTCACATGGGCAGGCCAGTGATTGTGGCAATAGTTTGAAAAAGAGCAGCCCCACAGCAGGCGGAAGGGATTTGTTTGTCTAATGCAGTCCATAACATAAAAACAGGAAGAACATAACACAAGTGAACAAATAAAATACCATTGCCAGGTATACAATGGGGTGTGTATGTGTTCCCTATCGCCTGTCCCCCACCTTTGTGTATATCTTGTAATGAATATTTAATAAAGGTATGGGGCACACTTTGTTGGTGGTTTCCCAGGCTTTGTTAGCATAACCTGGTGTGCATTTAACATTTCTTGTGGTATCTTCAATGATCTCATACAGATATTAAAGAGGGTGCACATATGTGTGTTTAGCTCTGCTGGCATCACTTTGTAATAACCGGCTGTGTACCCAGCGGGGCCTGTTTCGTTTTTTTCCCTTAAGCAATGATTTAATAATTTGTAATACTTCCTGAGTAGTAGTTGTAGCTGTCAATTCCTCCGCTTGTCAACTAGTATCTTGTGCGAATGGAATTGCATTTTAAAAATACTCTATCTTCATTATACTGCTCTAAAGAGTCATTGGACATTCCCACAGGTTAGATACTGTGACGGTAGTCACCATCACTCGGGATGGAAGACACACTATGGGTGGGCTCCCAAATTCCTTTTGTGTTTTGTCACATGGTGCCTATAATTTGTGCAGGGAATGTATTGCTGGTCTGTGCATCTCCCCCTCCCCCCTTTTCACGAGGTACTCAAGTTGTCTTACCCGCTCCCCTCCGGGCTGGTCTCCCAGAAGTGGCATGCGCCAGGCCATTTGTTCCTCTAACTGGTATGCGACACCAGAAAATCACTGCTGCCGTTGATACTGGACTTCTTCTAGGGCATTGTACCATAATTCTTTCCAGGCAATATCTCTCCATTCCAATTCACTCTCTTCCTCAGGTGTGTGTGCTGCCCAGGGGTCCACGAACCCAATTTTCCCAAATCTTTCTATAGACAGGGACGCTGTATGAACACGAGCGTCGCCCTCAATTTGTAAATCCACAAACGGTGTCTCTGAGCTGCTTTACCTCGCACTAGGTCGCCATCCCACCGCTGCCACCAATGTAACGGAGCTCCAGTACTCCAACCGAGTACCTCCGCCAAGTCTGCTTCCTTGTAGCTATCAAGGACCCTGAAACACTTCAGACCCAGACGCCAAGGCTTGACTGGGATCACTTAGGGCCTTTTCCACCCTGGACCAAAGACCAGACGACACATGGTGAAGGTTAAACAGCAACTCTTTAATGAATGCAGCACACATAATTTAAGCCCCCAACAGCCTAATTTGCATACAATAGGTTACATAGATTACTATAGTACAAGGAAGGGTGGGGTCAGACAATAGCAAGGGCTGATGGGAGATTGAGGAGGGACAGAACAGCTAGTTTAAACTGGTCTGGCAGAGTCCCTGGGACAACGCCCTGCTGGGGAAACAATAGGACAGGAAAAAGGGGGGAGGGGGAGATGCACAGACCAGCAATACATTCAACATACATACCCTGCATAAATAATAGGCACAATGTGACAAAACACAAAAGGAATTTGGGAGCCCACCCATAGTGTCTGTCTTCCATCCCCAGTGATCGTGACTACCGTCACATATACTATGCCATAAAATGCTTGGCTATGTATTGGGGATTATATATTTTTTCACCTGTATCTTCTAGTATGGTTGTGGCAGCTGTATGTTTTCTTAAATTATAAATATAAATCCAACAGCAGCAGTATAGAGGATAGAGCTGTAAATCTACAAAACATAAAAACATATAATAGTGCAACACTGTTGAAAATTGGTTAATGTTCACTATTGGGTTACGCTCACAGAATGGAGAGAGATGTTATCGCCTTAGGTTGCCTCCCCTGATGAAAGTGGGGGGCTGATCCAAGACTTTCCCTGGCAATGGTGCTGCAGCATGAAGGGCCAAACTCAAGTCGAAGAGTATATAAATTCTGCTTTATTTAATATAAAAAGTATAAACAAACAAATAAAATGTATGTATATTTTGGTGCTGTATAAGATCCTATGTGTTTCATCCAAAGGGACTTCCTGTCAGGGTTTCTTTGCTGTTTTAACCCCTTAACGACTGAGCCAAATGTACACGTTGTGATCAAATAAAAAGTAAACAAAAACTTGTATTTGCGCTATATGTCTGTTCAGGCGTAATTTGCCTCTTTCATATTATGGGGGGGGGCTGAAGATGACACAGGGGGAGTATTACAATGTTTAAATCTAAGTTGGATCACTTGAAAAAGACTCACCATAGAGTCGAAACGCGTTGTGCTTGATGATTTTCGTTTTTTTATCTTGCTGACCTTTTTCTGCAATATATTTATACCCAATAAATAGTATTTTTTCTTTACTGAGAGTTTGGAAAATCACTTCTTGGGAAGCAGCTCCAGCAATCCAGAGGTTTCTTTATGATGAGCCTGAAAGTCTGAGCCTGCTATTTAGAGGCTCAGCACCATGTGAGTTGATTCAACTTCTATTTAAACATTGTAATAGCTATTTATAAATTACACTATGTACTGCACTTTATGTTTTTCTACAGAAAAGTGAACACTGCCATTTACCAATGTTGAAAGTGGTAGTATTGTGTTTTCCCTGTGTGTTTGCTCTCACCTATCTATTTTATTGCTTTACTATTGTTTTGTGTTGTTTGGGTAACCAACACTGGTGATTGTAGCAACACCATTTTTTCTTTATTTAGTCACTGTACTTTATTTGTGTGTACACACACAGACATACTTACTGACACACACACACACAGACATACATACTGAAACACACAGACATACATACTGACACACACACAGACATACTGACATACATACTGACACATACAAACACACACATACTGACACATACACACAGACATACATACGGACACACACACAGACATACATACTGACACACACACAGACATACTGACACACACACACACAGACATACTGACACACACACAGACAGACATACTGACACAAACAAACATACTGGCACACACACACAGACAGACACACGCTTCAGTTTCCTACCTGTGCAAAAGGCTTCCTTCTCTGGGGTCCAGTGTGCTGGCTGGGGTGGTTGGGAGTTGGGGGTCTGGTTCTCCTTGCTCCCCCTCCTCACTGGATGCTGGCACAGCCTCCCACATGGCCCGATGTCTTTAAGGTGGGAGGAAGTGATTCGCGGACGTCACTTCCTCCCATGCAGCTGTTAAGCAAGGGGCCCGGTCGCGCTGTTAAAGGGCCACAGTGCCGATCGGGCCCCTGCTGAAACATGCTCACCGGGTGGTCCTAAGTGTATGAGCCACCAGGTGGGCCCCCTTAGGGTGCGGGCCCCGGTGCAGCCGCAATACCAGCACCGCAGGCCCATTAGGGAAATCTTTTTTTTAAACTTTTTTTTTTAATGCGGGCGACGAGGCAGCTGCTTTGGGCACCCCAGGAGTAAATGGGCCCGGGGCAGCTGCCCCATTTGCCCCGCATTAAAGACGGCCGTGACTGCTCCCTGTGATAGATAACAGAGCAGGATCTACCTCAAAAGCCATCAAAGCCTGGATGTCCGGGATACAAATGTGGTTCCTGAGGAGACGGTCATCCTCCTTAACCAAGGGGGATCTAAAGGCTAGTTTGCCAAAATCTCTAACCTCAGAATCATGCTCTATAGTCCATCTGGAGTGAAATTATTTTTAAGGGAGAGTCTTTCCTAGGAGACTCACTCTAGCCATCTGAAGTTGCTAAGTTTCCCTCACTCAGTGGAAGTTGCTGAACGGACCACTTCCTCAGATTCCTAGTCTATTTCTGAAGAGCCGTGTCTAAAACTGGATCAACTTTGGGCGGAAGAATGAGCAAACACTCTAGAAGAGGAAGGAGAAGGACTATCTAACCTCCAACAAAATGTGTCCTATTTCTCTGGAAGGTGTTTCTGGTGCTCAAACAAGGGAAACACACTATTCTGCTTTTGAGATCCTGTCCCTTTATTTTTTCACTTATTTAAACGAGTATGAGGGGAAGGAGGAGCAGAAAAAATTCAGTCTGACATGAAATGCTCATTGAGAGAACAGAACTGCTTCCTGTTAGACTGGGGAGAAGAGGTTATTGAAGATCCTCTACCCTCGTCTGCAGCTCGCCTATGCTACAAGAGGGTGGTGAGGAGACAAGTGGGTGGAAGGGGAGGGATGAGGCACATATAGGGTGAGCAGGGGGAATGAGGCCCTTTTAGGGTGAACTGGGGGAATGAGGCACATATGGGGAAGCTGGAGCATGAGACAAATAGGGGGTACTTGGGTAATGAGACACATTGGTGGGACTGGGAGAATGAGACATGGGGCGCTGGGGGGAGATAAAGACACATGGAATGGAGGGGCTGTGGGGAATGAGACCCATTGAGGGGGCTGGGGGAATAATACACATTGGTGAGCTTGGGGGGAGTGAAGCATGGAATGGAGGGGCTTGTCGGAATGAAACACATGAAGTGGCTGGGGTTGGACACAAGAAATAGACAAGGTTCTGGGGGAAAGAGACACACAGTGGGGCTTAAAGGGGGGATAGACACACAAAAGGTTCTGGGGAAAGAAAGAGACATACACAGATAAGGGCTGTGGAAGGGGTAAGAGACAGACATGGGCTGGAAAGAGACAACCAGAGGGGCTGGAGGGGACAAAGAGACACAGAGGTGCTGTGGGGAGAAATTGACAAGGTGCTGGGGGATGTGACACACAGAAGGGATGGTGGGATAAAGAGACATATGGGGAAGGGGGATGGGGAAGGGTAGTGTTAAGACCTGCAGTGGTTATGGTGCTGCGGTCTTCTGTTCCTTTTCCCAACAGCTGAGCATAAGTGATTATAGCTGCAGCAGGCAGTAGAGGAATAGGATAGATGAATGCAGTTCCAAGATGATTCTTCCCAGCAAATAGAATATCCCCCAAACATGAGCCTAGACTTCATGAAGGGTGTAACAGGAATGCATTTTATTGACAACACACAGGCTTTTATGAGAAATCCTCCTGCAAGAGGACCTCCCACAGCAAACAAAGACAACAGCCAATCAACGTACAGATTTACAGTAATACACGCCTTCCCTCTGCCTGGGAGATATTGAGATAAGTTAAGGGATAAACCAATTATCTCCAGGCAGAGAGCACACAATTTCCCCAAAACTTAGAACACCCCTTTCCCCACAAGGTATCCCCACAAATTACATATCCCCTGATAGCCCCGATCTGGGGGACAAACATATCCAAATTTCACCCAGGTCGGTTCAGGGGTTCTTAAAAAGTATGGAGGGTACCTTTAACCGACCACACACGCGGCTCCTGCCCAAAACAGTTCCATGAATTCAGCGTGTGCGGTCGGTCAATTCAGAAACAGGTACAAAACCGAACAAAGTCCCGAATGGATCTTCCTGGCTCATAGGAGCGATTGCTCCCCTTGTCCGTTCGCACAGAACTACCGAATGGCACTCTCCTGGCTGTTTGGGAAGTAAAGGAAGCCGGCGTTTGGTAGTTTCAGCGGTGGTTCGGGAGGTCGAGTGTCTGATTTTAGTTCCAGACACTCGACGACCAAGTCCCGCTGACTCCCCTTGTGCGAACAAGATGGCCGCCGTCTTCTATTCCACGTGGCGTTCGGCTATACGAACAGCGGCCGCCCAGGGAGCACTTAATAGATGGTTCCTTTGTAGTTAATGAGCCAGGAGGGGGGGTCGCTGTTCAGTAGTTTCAAACTACCGAACAAATATATTCAATATACATGTAATAAACAGGAAAAAGACAGAACAAAGAAGAAAATGGCAAATAAAAGTCTATTTTCTTCACAGGTAGAAAGATATACACAAAATGGGGTAAGAAATTAAAGGGGGGATAAAGGGACACACAGCTGAAGATTCATTTTTGGGAGGGAGGGAGAGACGGCAAAACTCATCTTCGCTTGTGTAGCCAAAAATCTTTGCACAGGCCCTGAGTGTGTTAGGGTCTCATGACCAAACGTTGTTTTATTTTTTGTCAATTTGATCCACAATAAATACTATTTTTGCTTTCACACTGCATTGCGATGCCTGTGGACTTCTATTTTTAAGCTGTGATACGTTGCTTGTGCTGGCTGTATCCCAACCTGTCTCCTGGTGATTGGTAACTATTTTGGCGGGAACTAAATATGCAGCAGGTACATAAACTGAACTCCATTAAACATGCAATAAAGTGCTGGGGAAGGTCAGAACAATGTGAATGCTTTCAATGCTGCCTTGTTGCAGAAGATCACCCATGTGACATAACAAGATTAAAAGGCTGTAATTATATCATATCAGCTCCAGTTGATTCTTTGAATGGTGTATCCCCCAAGGCCAGCATTCTATCTTATTGAAAGTAGAGTTAGGTAAGGCCGAGTTAGGAACTTGTAAAAGTTGTATCACCAGGAGTATGGTATATGTATTAATCCCAAAAAAATCCAAAATATTAATCCAAAATAAATAAATGTGGAGCCATGTTTGCAAGTGAGTATAGGAAGATAAAAGATACTATGTTATATTGTTAGGAAGATATATATATATATATATATACAGTGAATTAGGCTATGTGCTATGATGATTATTAATTTATAGAGAACTTTCAAACATCATTTGCAATGAGTGGAGCTACTCTTGGGGGTTGAACTATTTACCCCATAGACAACACTGAAGAACAAGCTCTAAATAGGTGTAATCAGACCTGTTAAAAAGTGGGGTTAACCTGTATTTGTATTCTCAAACAGAACACTAAGAAATTGTCAGGAAATAAAAAAAATATAACCTTTCTTTCTAATTACACATTAAAATTCAAGTTAGTAAAAGCAAATTCAATTATGATAGCTCTTAACAGTTTGTATGCCAAATAATTCTATCCCCTTTAATTGATCAATAACCGCAAATCCCTTCAAATAGTGAAAACTGAAATATATACGAAGGACAGTAAATACAGGAGAGAGAAGTGCCTACCTAATTAGAATTCATAACCTTCTAGCAAGTTATATCGGTGTAGTATTCTATTTGTACCACACTGGGTCACTATTGTACTCTGTTAAGAATATTATAAACCTTGAAAGTATTAAAACACTTACATTTTCATCTCATGTAAAAAGCAACACGTAAAAGTAAAACCACAAGTATAATAAACTAATTTATATCACTATTACAAACAGAAAAACCAGGATAGAGTAGAGAGATATTCAATGTACCTCTGCCAGTCCAGGATTTAGGACACCTAGTTGTGTTTAAGGTGTTTATAGAAAAAACAACAACACCTTAGACACAATTGGGTAAGCAAGCACAAAAATACAGTATTGTAAAATTGTTTTCAATCTTCCTGGGAATACATTTCATGCAGGTTTAAAATTTTGTTTGTAGAAAATAAGGGAAGGTAGCACACTCTAATAAGTAATACACGGTAGCCCCTTTAAATGGAGCTCTGTAAAAACTAGATATTGGGTGCTCACTTACATGAAGCTCTGTCCCCCAAAAAACAAACCAAATGCAAATACAAATTGAGTAAGGAGCACAACCATAAATGTTTATATACAAAAAAAAAAAATCTTTATTAGATGGGTACACACTAACAACATATCTCATTAAATATGAAACCAAAGTAAAAAATCATAGCATGTTGTAAAGCAACTGCCAGAAGAATTCTGGATATATATACACGCCAAGGGTGTAATGCATGAAATAACTAAGTATCGATATCATAGGTAACTAAATGCGATACCCATACAATTCAAACCCACAAAAACAGACACATATAGACACATATAGAAAAAGTACAAAAAGCATACCAGACCTAGTGAGAAGCAGGGACAGAGGCAACCAAAACGCTCCCAACGTTTCGGCAAAATGCCTTTGTTTGTCCTACCAATATACACGAGTTATGGAAATCAAATTCATCTTACTTTTATGTCACGAATGTACTGTCTTTTTAAATCCACAGAATGATACATGCATAGGGATAAGTGAGAAAGCAGTACGCCATAACTTAACTCAAAACATTATATGGTTCCCAGGAAGATTGAAGACATTTCTACGTTATGTTTTTTGTTTTCTTTTTGGTTCCTTTTGTATATTGGAACAACAGAAGAAAATTCAACAATAATTCAATTAGAGGTATGTTGTGTGCTTAGCACACAACTCAATGTTTTATGGTTTTGGTTTAAAAGTTTGTGATATTATTTCTGAAAGTGTTTGGCACCAGAGTCTTGTTTGCTGGTAAATTATGTTAATCGTATATGGTACATTAGCACCTTTGTTGCACAATTATATTTTAGATTTTGCAATAATTGTTTTCATTATTTGACACCAGCAGGTATCATAAGGATCAGTGTGTTGTATATACTGAATAATCTTATTGCTTATCTCTAACACACCTGTGTATTCGTTAAATATTAACCCTATGCTTCTGCCCAGGTAACATCTAGTTTCAGTGTTTGATAGAATAAGGTAACTCCTTAGATCCTGGGCCAAAGTACATGAATTAGACTTTGTATACTATACAGTAAAGATTATTTAATGAGTCATAATATAAGCTAGGACTCAAAACTTCAAGTCTTACACTACTAGACAGGCCTTAAAGTTACCCACTACCGCAAGTATGGAGGATCTATGTCACACTCATCAGAGGTGAATTTCTAATTCACCAGGAGTGAATTATCACACATTAAAAAGGAAATATATATATATATATATATATATTTATATATATATATATATATTTGTGGTCAGGGCAATATTGCCATAAGAGTTAGATAACAAATAAATAAATATCATAGTTAATAACACTAGTCGGTTGTGGTGTGCGGGAACCGACAATGCAGTAGGCCTGTAATAAAGAGGGTCCACCTTAGAGAGTGATGCTATAAGAGGGAGTGGTGAGAGAGGCAACTTGTCAGACCAATAACGGTATGTGAGAGGATTGGAGGCCCTTAAAAGGGGACCCAAACTCCTCCCACTACTACAAGCCCAGCCTTAAATGTGTGGTCGGGGCAATATTGCCGTAAGAGTTAGATAACACATCATTAAATATCATAGTTAAGAACACCAGTCGGCTGTGGTGTGCCGAAACCGACAAAGCAGTAGGCCTGTAATAAAGAGGACAAAAAAAAGTGTACAAATTGTCTTTGCTCTACAATACATCAAAATTACTTTGATAAGTTACGAAATGTCTGATGAATCCCTTTAACCGGTTCTGGTATGTATAATGTATAAATGTATTCCCAGCGTCCCAGGGCCTTGATGATATGTGCTGGAATGTGATTGGAGGGAGCACATGATGCTGCCCCTATATGGAAACAGTGGCCTGAGTAATAAGATGAATTAAGGCTAAGCCCTGTCAATAGCATATGATTCATGGTGAGCACATTTTGCAGTAGTGGGTGTGGAACCATGTAATTCTAGTAGTGGTTGGTGTGGATGTTTGTGAGTGGTGCTGAAATAATTATCCAATACCTTAACTGGGCACCATTATGTAATAGGGTATAAGGATGTCGACAGGTGGTCCCATCTGGCTGGTTTAGAGTAGATTGTAGTGATCTATAGATTTGTGGATATATTGAAAGTTTTAAGGTAATCCGTGGAAGTTAGATTAATGGTGGTGAACTTCTTTTGGTCATAGGAATCCGTAAAAGCTAGGTTTATGGTGGTTTTAATTACCATATTAGTGATAGGTTTGAAAGGTGACTAACGAATCGGATAATAATTGGAACAGTTACTATGGATGGGTAGTCTCTTAGAGGGTAAAGTTGTGTCAGATTTGGGATTCCTTTTAGTAGGGTTTTAATTTGGTAGGATGATAGGAATCCTGTTTTGTTAGGGTGTTGTAACAGCATGTGGTGTTGAAATGAGTGTGGTAACGTCAAAGGATATTTTTAAGTTTAAGGTGGCAAAAGGAAGTAAAAAAAAAGTGAAAGGAGGGGGCCTAAAAGGCCAAAATCAAATCGCTGTTCCAACCTAGTCTTAATTAGTTTATCAATCGATTCTGGACCTGCTAGTGCAGTCTGCAAATTATTGCATTCCAGTGTACCAGATGGCAAGTGCATGATACCTGTGTGAAACCCCTGTAATAACCCATCAATGAGACAGTTAACCAAGTGTTGTAAGGGGTGGTATCTTAATAGTTCAGCAAAATACATAACAGTAATACATGTGAGGTAGGATTTAGGGAACAAGCTGGAGGAGGAAGCGGGCTGGAAGCGTTCGGTAAACGGTCAGGTAAGTAGAACCAGATGGTCAGGAAGCTAGGAACCAAGACCAAGAGGACACAGGTAAGAACAACAAGACGGCGACTTGTGAGTGACCGGAAGTAGTCACACTCAACTCGCCAGACCAATAACGGTATGTGAGTGAGGATTGGAAGCCCTTAAAAGGGGACCAAAGCCCCTCCCACAACTATAGGCCCAGCCTTATATATATAACAATACAGAGAATGCAGTGGCGTGAGGTTCCACCTACCAACAACACAGTGCAATATTCAAATTGGATCCCAACAGGGGAACACCAAAAAACAAACAGCCTGCAATAAAAAAAAATGTACTATTATTTATTCATCACCAAAAGACACAAATGATACACATAGACCAACTGATACCCTATAATTTAGTACTTATAGCAGATGGATAGCATTCTATTGTATATGAAACTGCTTATTTCAATGCATTGTACCTTTACAAAATTAGAATTTTAAGCACACATTAGAACATTTTTATTTTCAAGTTTTGTTTATTTACAAACAAAAAAGTAATACAAACAGGTTTCGGGAAGATAAACTAAAAAATATTAATAATGTACAATGAATGCCAACCATACCCACTGTTAAAGAGGCACTGTCACATGAAAATGTATTTTACATAAACAAGTTTTAAACAATAATGTCAATAAATTGATATCATTTTAATCTAACCAAGCTATGGTGGAACTACCAATTTACAATTTGTCAGTGTTTACCAATGGAGGTTGCCATTTTGCAATTGCATCATTGTTATCGAACCTTCAGTCAAAATTACTGAGAAAACAAAAAACAAACCTAAGAAAAAAATAACAAAATGGGATGTCACCAGCCAATCAAAATCTATCTGATGCTCAAAGTTAGCTGGATAACTTTTGTTTGTTTTTGTTTAATAAAAAATATCTGCTGAACATATTGATAAATGATCAACAAAACATACATTGAGAGGTAAGGGATCAGGATTGGGTGGGTGGGACCTGGTGGAGTCGTCAGTGCCACTACTTGACGAACTCACCTTTGAAAGGGTGTAGGCTGATGACAGTTCCTTGGTGTCCCAATATTGGGATGGTGGAACAGAACTCTAAAATAGGGAATGTCTGGCCAAAAACGGGACAGTTGGTATATTTGACAGAAGGTGCAGACAGTGTTTAAAATGTACATGACAGGGCATGGACTATTTCCAATGACAGAGATACTTTAAATTACAAATAATTCCGGTAACATGTAGACTTGCTAGAAAAAGATATGAAAGATGTAAGGATTGCAGATTCATACTCTTTACCCTCATTATCACCAAATAACCAGACTGAGCTTAGTTTTTAACAGTGCAATTACAGCTCTGTTGGTAAAATCACCATTAATATTAATGTCCACGTTTATTTCGTGGAAACGCACCCTCGGTATGCTGTGATCAGTTGTATCTCCAATGTCCATAATTGTTATGGAATACACAGCTGTGGTTTGGCAATTTTGTGGATGGAGGGAGAATCACCATTATAAATGACACCAAAATGACTGCTTTCTTAAAAATTGTAACAGGCTTTATAGTGAAATTGTAAGAGAACTGCTTTCATAATGGGAAAAATTTAAAAATGAATCATGATTAAAGCCATATCAAGTTGTGATGCAACAGGCAACAAAATATATATTTGTTTTAACAAAATGCTTTTCAATAACCTCATAAAGGTGTCTCAATGGCACAAAAGTCAGTGAGCCTTTTTCTGTAATCACAGACTCCAATGTTTAACAGAAAACTCTACAACACGGTTCAAATAACAGAAACATACACACAAATTCCAAAATACACAGATAAGACTGTGCACCGCCACATTCAACATTTTTTCTCTTGCCTGATCTGTCACCAGATCAATATTGTTAGTACAGCAGTCAGTATTGTAGGAAAGTCTCTAAAGTGCCCTATATTCATTGGCTGGTAATTACCGGTAAATAATGAAGTTTCTATTTATTGTCCCTCGATTTCCCTTTCATTTCATTCTGTAGTTTTGATCAAACATCAACAATCGTGCGTCCTTTTTCTGTTTATCATATCTTACACAAGTGATAGTGCTGAGGAATTTGAATAACATCTACTTTTTCATAGAATGTAATGCTTTAGCTGTCTATAAACTCTTGCAATAAAAAACCACAAAGAAAAACTTGCAGAAACATTAACTTTCCCAGAGAATGTAATTTTATTCCCATGTTTGTCTTGGGAATTATAAAGTATCATTATGTGACAAAATACAATGCCTAATGACTATATCAATAACTAGCTTCAACTGCATGTTCCGTGTGTACCAATAAATGCAATCAATAGATGTTATTAATAAACGGTAATGTAGATTGAGAACTGCAAGTCACCAACTCATGTAATAATAGATCTTAGTCTTTCAAGTCTTGCTTCTTCAAGGGCGACATTGTCAGATGTCCTCCCTAAAAGATAGATTAAAATAATAAATATCTAGCATACTTAGATTACTGTGTGAAACAAAATTCTATTTGTGTTACCTAATGGGCATGCATAGCAACAACCTAGTGAAGTCTCAAACCATGATTTTATATTGTAGATTTAATTAGTCTGATTCTATGGTGGCTGTACTGCACTCATTCAGAAACAGTCATGGTTTGTTTACTAAAGTGAGAATTGATGGGAATTCAAAGTGATTTTCACATTTAAAGCCAAAGTACCCACAGTGGAAGTGGAATTTTCTAGTTCAGTTATTTCGGCCTCAAACGTACTTTGAATTCTCAACATTTCTTACTTTGGGGGAATAACCAGGATCTTGAATCTTACATGAGATGAATTCATCTGTATATAAAGATAACTGGAGTTAGAAAACACTGCATTGTAATGGTTATGTCAAAACTCATGTCAAAACTTCAAGGTTTCTCACTTGAATTTTTTCCCCAAACGTGAATCAACTTGGTAATCCTGAAATTTAGGCCAAAATAAGCTAATTGGAAAAATAAATATCCATAGTAGCCTTTTTCCCCCATCTCTGCTCTTTTGGCTTAAAATCAGCAATTAATTTGCCTAATCCTGGCAATATCTAGTCAACTAATTCTAAATGTTTCCAATTTTGTTTTTCGTTAGTCTTTGTTGTTACATATAAGGATTCTTACTCCAACATGATTGTTACCATTTTTGTAAATCTTAGCTGTAAATATTTCAGTGCTAGGTAAAAGCAGCAGTAAGCAGACACCTTGATTAGTGAAATCATGCTGATTTTATTATTTTAGTGCAGATATAGGCTAGCTAAGGCTGTAGCACTCAGTGATGCATTATGCGATATGATGACACAGCTATAGTGTGTTTTCTAGAAGATGGATACTGAAACAAAGCACATTGTTAAAAGTGATCAGAAGGGCCATTATAAGATTTCTAAAAATAAACCTGCAAAAGTGTCTGCATAGTGCAATCCTTCACACTGAATGGAAGAAGGCACACACTTTTCATGTAAAATAGATCCTTTAATCAGGAACAGCACAGGTCTAATAAATAATAACTTTTGATTGTGAATGAATGACATGTCAGCACAATATTGTATTAGAGTCTAAATCTAGTGAGAATCCCCATATTTTATCACCATTATTTCTGCGTCGCAGCAGAGACCTAAAAATGCTGAGTTGGCATACGAACCCCTCCCACGGGGCCACCGGTCCCCAGACAGCCCCAACCTCCTAGACCCCACACACTAGACGAACCCCTTCCTCTCACCCCTCCAGTGCCGTGGCGAGCGAAGCCTCCTCCGGTCCCACTTTTTTTTTTTTTTTAAATGGCAGCCACATGGGCGTCTACCCCGGCACAACTGACGTATTGGTCTAATAACGTCCAGGGACTCAACACCCCAGAAAAACGAGCCCACTTGCACCGTCGACTGTGGAGCGCCAAAGCCTCCGTTGTTTTCCTGCAAGAAACCCACCTCAAAGGAGGCGACGCACCCAAACTAGAGAACCAACGCTTTCCTCTGGGATTCTACGCAAACCACGCCGAAACCAAAAAAGCCGGAGTCGCGATTTTGTTCGCTCACTCAGTTCCATTCCGATGTACACAGTCTCTAGCAGACCCGAACGGGAGATATCTCTTCCTGAGAGGCACCATCGCAGACCACGTATACACCTTCGCGTGCTTGTATAGTCCAAACAGAAAGCAACACACATTCCTAAGCCAGACGCTAGCCAAACTGGAGAAGTTCAGGGAAGGCCTGCTGATCGTAGCTGGAGATCTAAACATGCCGTTGGACCCTCTACGAGACACCTCGAGGGGCCAAAGCGCGATCCCCACACACTGCCTGAGAGCCGCACAACGATCTCTGCACAAGATGGGGCTTGTGGACTGCTGGAGGACGTACCACCCAGACGACCGAGACTATACCCACTACTCCGCGGTCCACACACATTATAGTCGAATAGACTACATTTTCATAGCCCAAGAGTATCTTAACTTACTACGTAGCGCAGACATAGACATCATGGACCACTCTGACCACGCACCGGTACTGATCCATACACAATCTCCGCTCTTCAAGCCAAGAGAAAGACAGTGGAAGCTAAATGAATCCATGCTGGACGACCTGGAATTTACCACCACAATGAACCGAGCCCTAACCGACTATTTCACGACAAACGAAAGCCCGGACATGCAACCGCTGACACTCTGGGAAGCCCATAAATGTGTAATCCGAGGACACCTCATAACAACCGGCACTAGACGTAAAAAACAAAGGTCGACGCAAATCGCTAACCTGACAAGCCGAATAGCGGAGCTTGAACAAGCCCATAAATCCACCCTGGACGACAGCACGTACCTCCGCCTCACGGAAACCCGCAGAGAGCTCCGGGATATACTAACCCAAGGACTGCTCCACACCGCCAGGAAAGCATCTCGATACTTCTACGAACACTCGAATAAAAGTGGAAGACTACTGGCAAGGATGCACCAAGAAAAACGGAGAACACGACACGTCCACAAGATACACACAAAAGAAGGTGCCATCACCCGGCTCCCGGAGGGCATTTTAACAGCGTTCAAAGAATATTACATGACGCTATACGACCAAACACAAAATAAAGCGGGACTTACGGCGAGGCATCATCAAGACCGGATAGCAACATATTTAGAAGATATAACCCGCAAATTGACACCAGAACAAGAGGCCGACCTGTAACTACCCCTGACAATTGAGGAATTAGCAGGAGCATTGAAAACATCCAAGCCACACAGGGCACCAGGACCCGACGGCCACCATATCGTGTATATACGAACATTCAAGGACATTCTCCTTCCCAGACTCCTCACCGGGATCAATTCCATTCAAGAAGGAGGACGCTTTCCCAAAGACACCCTGAGAGCGACGGTCGCGATCATACCGAAGGAAGGAAAAGACCCAACCAATTGTGCCAGCTACCGACCAATCTCGCTGCTAAACGCAGACTTAAAACTCTTTGCCAAAGCCATGGCCACCAGATTAGCGCAGACGCTCCCCGACCTGATACACCCGGACCAGGTAGGGTTCATACCCAGGAGAGAGGCCAGGGATAATACCATCCGAGCCCTTAACATCATACATACAACAGTAACTAGCAAACGAAATATGGTGCTCCTATCCACCGACGCCGAAAATATACCGTGACAGAATTGTGTAGGGATAGCACCCATAAGCTAATTTAATGCATTACTGCACTGGCATGTGCTGGTGTATGGAGGTCATGGAGGGTCAAGGAGACAATGTTAATTTACAGCACATTTGGAACAGGCTCTAAAGTCATCATCCAACAATAATTTAATATCATAACATTTAGTAGGGTAAGGAAGCACTGCTGTAGATATCTCATTTGGTTACAGGCATTTCCCCCTATATAACTGACGAAGATTTGATTATTTTTTCCTCCAGATCTTTTTTCCTCTTTCCCCCTTTTAAAATAATAAATCTTGGTCTTTCTATATTCTTTGTCTGACAAGTTACTAGGTACTCTTTCTCATTGATGGGGGAGCTGTTGGAAAACCCACTCACTGTTGATTAAGACCTGTTTTGGACTCTCACTTAATTATCACTGTTTTATGATAGTTGCAGTAGATATGTCATTCCAACCAGCCAACTTCCAAATATTGACCCTCAGTTGTAGTGGTCTGAACATACCAGAGTGACAACACACACTCCTTAGGGTACTTCAGTGCAAACACACAAATATAGCACTCCTCCAAGAAACCCACTTCAACGAACTGCACACTTCCACGTTACTGAACAGAAGGTATCCTACTGAATACTCTAGCAATAGGGGGCTATGAAGGCAGGTGTTGCCACACTCCTATTTAAGGATATCTGATTTTGGGAACTGGGAATTGTGTGTGATCCAGGGGGCAGGTACCAGTTTTAGAAAGGATTTATAGCGGAACACAAATCCAGCATAACTTCTGTATATGCATTTAATAGAGGGCAGGCCAATTTCTTGAGCAACTTTGTTGAGGGTTTTCTGATTTTAGGGGGAATTTCAATATGACTGAGGATCCAAAATTAGATTCTACACTAAAAAGCTACTTAGATATATGGTTGGTTATGATGGCCCTTGTGGTGGGGGGGGGGGGTTGTTCTTACTTGTGGACAGCAGAAGAGCATTTAATCAGTATACCAAAGACTACACATATTAATATGCCCTCCATGGTAACTAATCCCAAATTGACTATATATACAGTGGCGTACACATGACCCATGGGGCCCTGGTGTGAAAATTGATTTGTGGGCCCTCCCTTCCCCTCCCGCGTGGGTCGGGGCCGCAACACATGGCGGCGGGCACCTGGTCGCAGGGCTGGGACCCCGCGACCGCGGTATGCACACACACCTAAAGGTCCACTACAGACACCCAGATCACATCAGCTCAATGAAGTGGTCTGGGTGCCAGGTCCCTCTAGTTTTAACCCTGCAGCTGAAAACCTAGCAGTTTCAGATAAACGGCTATGTTTCATTGAGGGTTAATCCAGCCTCTGATGGCTGTCTCATTGACAGCCGCTAGAGGAGCTTCCGTGATTCTCACTGTGAAAATCACAGTAAGAAGACACTGAACGTCCATAGGAAAGCATTAAGTAATGCTTTCCTATGGGCGGTTTAAATGCGCGCACGCCTCTTGCCGCGCATGTGCATTCGGAGCTGAGAGGCGGAGGGATCCCCAGTGCCAAGGGAGTCCAGCGCTGGAGAAAGGTAAATGCTGAAGACACACACTCTCACGAACAGACTCATACACACTAGCTAACAGACACACACATTTACTGACAGAGACACACTCAGCGACAGACATACATACACACTCACTTACAAAACATACACTTTGACAAACACACACTCAGTAACAGACACACACAGTAACACACTCACTGACACTCATTAGCAGACACACTCACTGACACTCACTAGTAGACACACACACACACCCTAACACACACACACACTCTAACACACACACACACACTCTAACACACACACACACTCTAACACACACTAACACATTTTTTTTTTATTTAATCCCCCAGCCTCCTTACCTTTTGGAGAGCTGAGGGGATTCCCTGGGGTCCAGTGGTGCTGCTGGTCTCCTGGGTGGCCGGTCACTGGGTGGGCGGGCTGTCTGGGTGGCCGGCGTGCGAGGGAGCACTCTCCCCTGAGTGCTTCCTCTTCAGCTCCCTCACGCACCGCACTGATACCGGAGCCGGAAGATGACGTCATCTTGTGGCGCGCGAGGGAGCTGAAGAGGAAGCACTCAGGGGAGAGTGCTCCCTCGCGCGCTGGCCGGCCAGACAGACAGCCAGCCCACCTGCCCGCCCGCCCGCCCACCTGCCGGGTGTCAGCAGGGCCAGCCTCGGGGGGCCCTGAGGTGGCCGGCTCCTGGGACCCCCAGGGGAAGTGGCTGGCCCAGTGGGTACATACCGGGTCGCAGGGGCGGCCGGGCCCACTGGTATGTACGCCACTGTATATATATCTAAAACAGGAGAATCTGCACTTACTACAAAGTGCACAGAAAGATTCAGCTATATGGTCTAGCCACAACCCCATACAAATATCAAATATCACTGAAATGCCTGCTAACCTGGCTTAGAGACTGGACTTGGAAATTGAATGAAACCCTTCTTCCCAATGTAGGTGTTGTTTCCCAGTTGTTTCAGAGTATAAATACTTACTTTGAGGAAAATGACACAGATAAGCTATTAACAATTTGGGAGGCACATAAATGTGTGATAAAGGGCTCTATCATTAAGATAGACACCAATTAAAAGAAAGACAGTATGGCAAAGATAGTAGATTTAACATCACAAGTTTTAGATTTGGAGACTCCTCACAAGAGATTGCAGGTAGGCGAGATATATCAGGAGTTATTGCAAGCCAGGAGAGAATATCTGCATTTATCATGCACGCCTATTCAAAATGGGATCTGATCTTGATAATGGAGGTGGTACAAATTTACAACCATTTTCATTTTCATGGAAGATTACATTATTTTCTTAGTGTCAAGAATCTGTTAACATAAGCCAAAGTCATATATGATCTATTCTGTGAAACAATAAAAGGACTGATTGA